ATTGACGTGACGCTTACGCGCGGCGACGTCTCGATATCCGGATGGCGTGTCCTTCCGGACGCATCCTGTAGTGATCACCGCTTGATCGTGTACGAATTTATACCAAGGGTTGCACAGGATCCACAAAGGGCTCCCTATAATTTTAGATATAAAACTAAAGGTGCGAACTGGGCTTTGTTTGGTTCACTCTTTGCAACTCATACCAAAGACTTCAGTCGCAGTAGTTTATCAGCTGAGGAAAGCGCAGAAATACTATCAGAAACTTTTACATACTGCGCTGATGTAACTATTGGTCGCGGATCTATCACTAACACTCGTAGATGTGATTGGTGGAATGATAGATTAGCCGAACTACGTAGAAGCTACCGGAAAGCTCGTAGAAAATTAAACAATATTAAAAAACTTAACGTAACAGGAGATTTGTACAACAATGCTCTCATTGCTCTTAGAGTTGCCAGGTCCCACTACAGAGCTGCTGTGGAAAAATCCAAGGGAAACTTAATTCAGAAACTTGTTGATAAACTCGATAGAGAGGGCCCGTGGTCACCTTTGTATCACGAATTTTAGGCAAATAGATCAATCGACCTTGCATACATACAGAACATCAAAATTAATAACAGATATACCACATGAGTAGAACAAACAGCAGAATATCTTTTAGACTCACTCGTACCTGACGATCGACCGGAAAACGACACTCATCATCACCGACAGATCAGGCTGTGGGCCATCGAACCACCACTATCTCCAATGTCTTGATTTACCATCTTCAGACGAATTTCTCGGTATCATTAGATCCTTGCCGCTAAACAAGGCTTCGGGCGATGATAAAATATCTAACAAAATGATAAAAGAAGCTTGTAAACTTTCGGGTGACACGATTTTCACTGTCTTTAAACGTTGCATTGCTGAAGGAATATTTCCTCGTATATGGCGGTGCGGTAATATTCGTATAATACCAAAAAGTGGCGACAAGCCACCGGATGATCCTAAATCCTACCGACCAATAACATTGTTACCATCGTTAGGAAAGCTTTTAGAACGTCTTGTAGTGCCCCGGCTTCTGCCAGGTGGAGTCAAATTTCATGATAGACAATTTGGATTTACGTTGGGTAAATCGACAACTGACGCTGTTATATCGGTTAGAAAGTTTGTCACAGGGTCAAAATTTCAATACGTGCTGGCTATTTTCTTAGATATATCTGGCGCTTTCGACAACGCATGGTGGCCCATGCTGTTGCTGAAATTAAAATCACGGGGGTGCTTTAAAAATATTTATTCCCTTATCTCTTCGTACTTTTCACAAGGTACAACTAAACTAAGACTTGGTCATCATTCTGTGTCGAAGGCGCTTACAATGGGATGTCCTCAGGGATCGGTGCTAGGTCCATACTTGTGGAATATCGGCTTCGACGATTTTCTTGCGATACCAATACCATCCGGATGTACTCTGAACGCGTATGCTGATGACGGCTTATTACTGGTGGAATCTGATACTAGGGCGGGGCTTGAGAGATTAGCCAATAGATGTTTGAACTTGATATCTCAATGGGGTGAACGTAATCGCTTAACTTTTGCACCCAACAAAATCTTCCAGCTACTTTTAAAAGGTAACCTCAAATCACCGCCGAGCATTAGATTTGACAATGTTACTGTAAAAAATAAAACCGCAGTGTGTTATCTAGGATTAGTTTTAGAAAGAAACTTTTCATTTATCGAACATATTAAAATAGTTAATGAAAAGTCTAAAAAGAGTTTCTGTGCATTGACAAGGATATCAACTGCGACATGGGGTCTATCATTTAATACATTAAAGATCATATACGGAGTTACTTATTTAGGTTCTATGTGCTATGGTGCACCTGTATGGGCCGATAAGGCGACCGTAGGCGCTGTCCGTCGCAAACTGTTACAAGGCCAACGACTTCCACTGATATTCTTGTGTAAGGCATATAGGACGGTTAGCACTGAGGCTTTGCCGGTGTTGGCGGGTGTGCTTCCGGTCGATCTCGAGGTGCAGAGACGTGCAGCCATGTACTATTCAAGACAACAAAACATGGAATGCGATTTTTTGGGCGCGCGGGATCGCGGTAAAATTACAAGATTGCTTCAACAGCAGCCCGATGTCTATAATGACCTCATAGACGAATGGCAACAACGCTGGGATGAATCATCCAAGGGGCGCCATCTTTACCAATTCTTTCCATCTGTTCGCGAACGGTTGTCGAGGATATGGCTTGAGGTGGATCACTGTGTCGCTCAATTTCTTACGGGTCATGGTAACTTTAAGACCGAGCTTTATTCATTTAAATTAGTCGAGTCACCATTGTGTCAATGCTCAACACCTAACTCTCACTATGAACAGTCTGCTCATCATATCCTCTGGGAATGTAGTCTTTGGTATAATGAACGTAATATAATGCTGAATAGCTTGCAGGTGACATCTGGGGCGGTATACTATGGGGATCTTGTGTCAACTAGGGTGAATTTCCGTGCGTTTAGGCGATTCTGCCATACATATTGTAGCTTACATATTATATTAAATCAAACATAGCTCACGTAGGACCCGTAATATTTGTGGCCGTGGTGCTCCCCTGTTTAAAAGGGTGTATGCCCATTTTACTTCATTTTGTCTCCCGCTTTGCTAAGGAGGGAAGTGGATTTACTGTTTTTCCAACTCCTCCAATTTTCTTCTGATTAATTTCGTTGCGTTCCAAGACAGTTTAATTTCTTCGTGGGACTTCCCGAGTGTCATAACTCGGTGTGTTCGTGGGTCACTGATGTGGATCCTGGTGTACAGGAGTTACAGTGGTGGGCGTGTGGGTGGGATTAGTCCCATTAAAAAAAAAAAAAAAAAAAAAAAAAAAACAAAAGGTATTCAAGCGAGCCGGACCTAGGGGCGAGTTCTAATATTGTCATACGTTTGGCAAGGTGTATACCTCGGAACCAACAATACCGACTGTTTTTTGATAACTATTATACGTCTCCAGAACTGATTTCATATTTGGCCAAAGAAGGAATACAATCGTTAGGGACAGTGAACAAAGGTCGTTTAGGAAAAGACCTTCAAATACCTTCTCTAAAGGACCTGAAAAAAGATAAGGTGGAAAGGGGATTTTCCGAAGAATGGGTGGCTGATGTTGATGGAACTGATATCGTAACAGTTTTATGGTACGTTAACAAACCTGTTGTCTTATCATCATCTTTTGTGGGTCAACAGCCGTCACAATCCGTAAAGAGGTACTGCAAGAAACAGAAAAAATATATATAAGTAGATTGTCCCCAAGTAGTCAAAACGTATAATCAGCATATGGGTGGTGTGGACTTACTGGACTCGTTTCTAGGAAAATACAAATAAAAATTCGGACTACAAAATGGTATTTGAGGGTATTTTATCATCTTCTTGATGTAGTTGTTATAAATAGCTGTTTATTTCTCGTGTGCTGGACAAATACATTGTGATAACAGTGAGTTGAACTCTTTTATTTACTCCTCATACACGAGACAAGTAGTTACTACCATAATACCTACACTGGATCACGTCGGGGTCACCAGAAGGTACAGTAGGTAGAAGATACAGGCACAAGCACAGCACAATTAGCAGTTTAAATAGGAAGATAGCTAGTTCAAGAATAGCACAAGAGATCACTAGATATTTAAGCAGTATATAAATAATATATAAGCACTACGTTGACAATATTTAGGTGGTACGAAGGGCTTAGGTAAACAAGCGTGCGGTCTACAACGGTAAGGAATTCAGACTGTTCGAGACGGCGCACGCGCAGCGGTTGCCAGCGCTTATCTCATCTAGCTATACATTTTGATAGCATAGTGAAAGGGATGTGTCGATAGAATTTATCGACAAACCGATATGTATCGCTGTGAAATGTAATATTTATTTATTATGTACTTATATTATAAACGTGTGTATTAATGATGTATATATTTTGTAAATAATATTTTAGGTGTAGAATAAGTGTAAATATTGTGAATAAATAATAATAATATATAATCTATGTGTTAATGTTTAGTGTTTTATGTGTAAAACGTATTAAACTCAAATGAAAGTAGGGGGATCCCTACATTTTGATTTAATTTTTATTTTGTTAATTACACATACACACTCACACACACACACACAAACACACACACACACATACACACACACACACACATACACACACACACACACACACACAAACACACACACACTAACACTAAATAAATTCATATGCTAAGTCGTTACTAAAATAATTAAATGTTCCTGTTCTTTGCCAAAAAAGTAGATTTAAGGCACAGTGTACCATATGTGGAACTGAAATAAAATTATGATTTTCTAGTTCAATATTTGGTTTTCAATATTTTTATTTATTTCCCTTAATTTCTTAAAACTAACTACATTTTATATAATTTTATCAGCTGTGAAAAAAATATTGAGCCTTGTAGGGTTAAATAACGAAAGAGTCAAGAGAATGAAAAAGAAAAAAAAAATTAGGAAAGGAAAAAATTAATAAAACAAATATATAAATATATAATTTCCGAACGCACCCAAAATGAAAAAAAAAGGAAACGTTATCTTGACGGATGACAATAGTTGTTGTCACAAATTGTTCTAATTTACGAAATGCAATGTAAACCAAAAAAAAAAACCCTGCGTACTTGTGTTTTGATAACAACAAACTAATTATAGAAACAATCAAAGTGTGGAGTGATTACAAATGGTAACAACTGTGCAGAAGTGCAAAACGATCACTGTCTCCGCGAACTTTTAGCCGCCGTACTCGAACTCGCTTTGGGCCTTAGGGTATTTAGCTATGAGTGGTTCCAGCTCGTCCAGTGAGTTTATTATATGCTATTAACGGAAGCTTTGACGATTATAGTGCCATCCTGTGTCCAGCAGGCCGACATGCCGAAATGTTAGTGGGCCACGCTAAAGGCCGTCTGTCGGGTTTTAGTAAGAAACTCTCTTACCGAGAAGCCGGTCCCCTTCAGAGTCGTCTTCACCTTCCATGGAATGTAAATGTAACTAGCACCGGGCGACGATGTTCCTTGGATGGAGTACCAATACGGTGACAAGTTTTAATCTTGGTTGTTGTAACGTCTTTGAGACCCATCTTCTGATTAAGGACACCAAGCAAGATCTTACTACAGTCCTCCTTGATGTCTTCAGGCAGTCCGAGAAAGACAAGTGCCTTACGTCGATGGTGGGTCTCCATGATATCCATAATTTTGGCACGCTCACTGATTTGCTTGCGAAGCAGACCCAGCATGTTGAACATTAACTCCTGGAATGCTCTAAACTCTTCCGAGACTCTCGTAATAGCTTCCTTGGAGTTTTATCCAGTATGCAGTCTTGCTTTCCAGCGGAGCTATCCTTTTGGAGAAACTGTCTTCTAAACTACACTGTGCCGCTTGTGTTGGGGATAGTTAAGAATAAAATCTTGTTGGTATAAATTTCCCTTTACTTTCACAGTGCTGTACAGTTTACTAATTAGACTATGTAAAGTATTTATAGATTACAATTATTGTTTATGGTGTGCGATATGCGTCTGTACTCGCCGGTGGTATCTTAGTAGCTTGTAGCTTGTGTCCTGCCGTCCGTTGAATCTAGTTTTAGAGGTGTCAACAATCTCCCGGCCCTTGAAGTCCTATCGGGACTTCAAGTGTCTCTTGATCGACGTCTAGAAATAGACACAAGTTCGTGATAGCTCGACGAACTACACCCTTTGAAGTTTCCACGTCTGCCAGTCTACAGCAATTGTCTGATCCTGGATATACGGCCTTGATTCTGCCAAGCGGCCACCGTAATGATACGTTGTGTTTGCCTTTAATCAGCACCAATTGTCCTGGCAATAAATTCGGTTTCTTAGTCAACCACTTGCTGCGGTGTTGGAGTTCACATATGTATTCACGGCTCATCCGTGCCCAAAAGTGTTGGCGCATTTGTTCCACCTTGGCGTAGTGGTGAAAAAGGTAAGGACTGCAGTCTCGTATGTCTGGAGCTGGCAACCATGTCAGCGGTTTTCCTATGATTAAGTGCTCTGGGGACAATGGGGATAGCGATGAGGATCGGAAGACAATGGATATAGCGGTCGGGAATTTAAAATTGTCTCGACCTGAGTAAACACTGTAGCAAGTTCTTCTGCAGTTAAGTGCATATTACCAATTACGCGTTTCATGTGAAATTTTGCTTATTTAATTGCGCTTTCGTATAAACTCCCAAGTGGGCAGAGTATATGGGTAATAATCTGAACTGAATACCGTCAGATTTCAAATTATCTGAAACAGAGTCATGGAATCCAGTAAGAAATTCACCTAACCCCACAAAGTTTCTATCGTTATCAGAAAAGATTTCGATAGGTTTCCCTCGTCTTGAACTAAACCGCCTAAAGGCTAAAATGAAGCATTCCGTGCTCAAGTTTGTTACAAGTTCCAAATGAACTGCTTTAGTTTTAAAACAAATAAATAAGCATAAATATGCCTTGAGCACCTTAGCTTTACGACGCCGATTATCAATAATATAAAAGGGACCGGCAGAATCTACTCCTGTGATCTGAAATGGGAATCCTAGTGGTACTCGTTATGTAGGCAATCTTCCTATAATTTGGCCAGCAAGTGCTCCTTTCACACGTTTATATTTAATGCAACTTCGATAAGTTTGCCGTGCTAAAACTCTCCCTCCAATTGGCCAATACAATTCTCTAATGTTTGAAAGTAGCAGCTGTGGCCGTTTTGTAAAAATAATCTTTACAGTTTAAAATTATGGGATTTGTCATAATCGTAAAAAGAATTAGTTAATCTGCCTCCCACACGCAAGACACCATGATTATCTAGAAATGGATTTAGGTTTAATATTATAGATTTATGACTAATTTCATTACCTTGCTTTAACGAATTGATTTCTTGATTAAATGAACGTCGATGTGAAAAAGAAGCCAACCTTAATTCTGCTAATTGCAATTCAGAAACTGGCAAAGGACCATGTAAATTTTTATTTCCTCTTTTACAATTGTTAATGAATCTTAATACAAAAGCAAATGACTTTAATCTATTGAAACTGGAAAACCGTTTAATGTCAATAACCTCCAAATTTTGGGGACTTGCAGTCATTACTGTGATCTTAACCTCTGGTTAATTTCACTAATAACTCAAATTCTGAGGATGGCCAATCTGTCTCGTCTTGGAACGGAAAACAAGGCCCGTTCCACCATAACTTAGCTTGAGGTAATTCTTGCGGGGACAGACCTCGCGATGGTAAGTCTGCTGGGTTGAGAGCAGTTGGGATGTACCTGCAGACTCCATTTCGAGGCAAATCCTTTATCTCTATGATACGATGTAGTACAAAGGTCTTTAAATTTGTATAAGTGCTTGTTTTCAACCACGACAAAACTATCTGTGAATCACGAATCCCGTGTTCTGGAGCGTGGCCAGGGGATGAATGGCTGATGGGTAGTTCAGTCGCAAGCGCCATTACGTCGGACGGAGGTAACTCCAGTACGACGATGGAAACGCGGACGCTCCAGGGACGAAGAGAGTGATACGTCCCAGGAGGTGCTGCCTCCCAAAATGGGTTGTAGCCGTAGAGGGAGGCCACGCACGCCAGTCAGGCTCTGTCTTCTCTAAGGCGGAAGCAGGCGGAGGCAAATTCTTGAAGCAGTGGGGCGTATGCTGGACGGGCGACTCGCGCGCTTAGAGGCGAGACTGCCTCCGGCCCCCGTTGTTCGGCCGCCCCTCGCTGCAAATAGGCGAAAGGTCACACTAGCGCCAACCTCTGTTCACGTTGCCGTTCCCGTTGCCTACGGTCGCACCGAAGGCAGGACGAGTGCCCAAAAAAGCGGAGAAGATGGCGGTAACAAGGACCGTAACTTCTGCGGCAAGGACTGGGGTGGAGTTCCCTAAACTCCCCACTCCAGCATCTGTGCCTGGCCCCTCTATATCTGCCCCCACTAACGATGGGTGGCAGATAGTTGGAGCGGCTAAGAAGTCCCGAAAGCGGGCTAAGAAGGCTGCCAATAAAACAGCCTCTATCCCGCATTCGCCTTCGGTGGCGGTGACAAATAAAAGAAGCCGCGGAAACTGCAACCGCCTAAAACTGCGGCTGTAGTGGTCACCGTATCTCCGGAGGCGGCTAACGGCGGACTGTCGTACGCGGCCGTATTTAAGAAGGCCCGGGACAGTCTCGCTAATGATTTCGGGACGGTAGGGGTCAGGATGAGCCTGGCCCAGACGGGAGCTCGCGTTCCCCGGGGCTGAAGGCGCAAAGACGGCGGACACGTTTGCCGAGAAGCTGCGGGGAATATTCGCAGCCACGGATTTTGTCAAGATCGCCAGGCCTACCAAGTGCGCAGAGCTGCGCATGTCGGGCCTGGACGAATCTGTAACAGCCGAAAATGTCCGCGTTGCAATCCGGGAGAAGACGGGGTGCAACGCGGACAACATCAGGGTCGGCACCATCCGCCCCGGTCAAGGAGGGCTTGGCGCTGTGTGGGTCAGTTGTCCCGTAGCGTCGGCCAAAATTTTGGGTGACGCAGGGAAGCTGCTCATCAGTTTCGTGAACGCTAGGATCACAGTTCTGGCGGCGAGACCGATGAGGTGTTTTAAATGCTTGGCATCGAGACACACACGCGTCAAGTGTGGAAGTTGTTTTGACTGCAGCGGACTATGTTTCCGCTGCGGTCGACCGGGGCACAAGGCGACAGAATGCTCTGCTGCCCTTCACTGCCCGGCGTGTGCGGCGGGTAACAAGCCCGCTAATCACCAGATTGGGCAGGGAGGCTGCAAACCTCTCCGCGATTCTCGGCAGACGTTGGGGGCTAGCCAGTCGACCCAGGCTACCTCCGGCGTCGTTCGTGCGTCGTCACCGTCGCCCATGGAGGAGGTTGTAGAGACGGCTCAGTAATGGACCAAGTCTCCAACCTCCTTGTCCAGACGAACCTGAACCACTGTGCCGCGGCGCAAAATCTCCTACAAACCATGGCGCAGGGGTCGATCGGTGTGGCCGTAACCGCGGAGCCCTATTATGTTCCTCCCTGTCCAAACTGGTTGGGTGACCGGGACGGCTCCGTGGCAGTCGTTGGCTCTAAGGCGGCTCATTCCCCGCCCTTGTCGCTAAGAGACAAGGGCACTGGAGATGTTGCTGCCGAGTAGGGGGGGATCACTATATACGGTGTATACTTCTAACCCAACCGGAGTTTGAGCGACTTCGAGGTTTTCCTCAACAGCTTGGATACCTCGATCCGGCGACTAGCGTCTGGGCACGTCCTTGTGCTGGGGGACTTCAACGCTAAATCCATTGCGTGAGGTTCACGGGCACGTGACCCTTTCCTTCCGGCTGACGCAGGTCCTTTCCGGGCACGGCTGCTTCGGGAAGTACCTGCACTCGGTCGCTAGAAGGGAACTGAGTCCTGCCTGTCACCACTGCGATTGCAGTGAGGGCTCAGCAGACGCTGGCATTTTTCCCAGCTTGGGCTTCGCAGCGTCGGGTCCTCACTGCAGTCATCGGGGGAGATCTCTCACTGCCGGCCGTCATACGCTCCATGGCCGGTAGTGATAATTGTTTTACCGCGGTCGCATCCTTCTGCGAAGACGTTATCTCGCAGAAGGAGGCGGCGAAGAGGGCCCGTGAGGATAATCTCCACTCATGCCGCCCTGAGTGTGGCCGCGGGTGGACGGGACGGGTTTTCCTCTCCACTCGTTATAACGGCCAGCTGCGAGGAGGCGACGTCTGCGTGTGCTGGACGTCTCCTAAATAGAGAATTTACCCGAAGGTGGTGCCCGTGTCGTTGCGGGCAGGCGCTAGGAGGGGTCCGGTGTCTTAATAACAGCAGTTCCCGGATTCCCACACACCACCCCGGGGTAAACCCCGGTGTGGTGACGGCCCGAGGGGGTTTCCACACTTAAAAAAAAAAAAGGGTATCGTGGTAGGCTTAAGAGGCGCTACTTTAGCTTTGGCGCAAAGAAGTTTAACTGAAACTTCGTTACTATCACAAGTACATGCAAGTAGTACATAGTATATGCAAGTGGCATACGCCTTTGAAGATGCATCAGAAAAGACATGAATTTCTACTAATACTACTAATCATTTTAAAGTCTACAGTTCTATTAATAATATTTTTAATGAAATGGTGCATACACTAAATAGCCCAAGTAGGTCAAAAATGCTACATACGGTAGACAAGATAGTGCGTTTTGTGCAATTATTCCTTTCATTGTTTTGTAATTTTGATAATGAACAAACCGTCAAAGTGGGAGAAGAAAGATTCCATTTAAG